AAGATGAGCACGCTAACACGTGGCGAAAATTGATCATCCATGTTATTACGATATCTGCAAACGTATCACTCAAACGTTTAAACAAATTAGAAATTTTGATTGAAAAATACGTATGATTGGAAACAATTAAAATATAATAAGCTTATAAAAAATATTTTCACACTGGAAACTTGAAGATGAATCATGATATATATTACGAAATTATTATATATAAATTATATTATATAATAATTATTAATTGAAAAATTGTATCTCTTGATGAGAATGAAAATTTGTTTGCAAAAAAAATTGCGTTTTTCGTTCAAAATTCTCTCGATTACGAATTTTAAAAAATGAAATGAAAAAATCATAACCTCGCGAGAAAAGAATTAAACGTGAATTTACTTGTACAAACCTGTTTATCCTCCAACAGTGGATTCATATTTATTTTATTTTCTGAATAATTATTCGTTTAAATAAATACGAGTAAACAAATAATGATTCAACCTTCGACTTAAAAATTCCCAATTTCCATTCACGCCTTCGTTTATTCTTAAATGTCATCCCGAGTCAAGCAACCACGTACAAGATACGCCATTTCTGGTAATCTGAAGAGCCGTTGTTATCCCCGTTCGAAAAGCTGAATAGACATGTTCACGATTATATGCCACTTACACTCGCACACACGTGTATCCGAATCGTATGAATTATTTATAAGTTTCTATCGATCTTTCAACTTAATAAACACAATGCACTTTAATTAACACAGTTGTCGATATATGCCGATTAATCAACGAAAAATTAATTTTCTCTCGTGTCGAAGCAAAAGAAATCCGAAATTTTGTAAATCGCACGATGATAACAATCCTCCATTTTAATCCATCGAGATCGATTATGGTTGCTGGACGATTAAATTTTATTTTGACAGAAAAAATTATCTATTATTTGCAAAGTTTTATTTTCAAAAATATTCAGACGATAAAATTATTTCGATATCCATTTTACTTTGCTTCTAAGAATCATCCCTTAGAATTCTCAGCTTATACGAGTTGTCAATATTACCGATACGTAGATGTGAAAATAGCGTAACGAATGGATGCACAAGGTATTAGATAACGTTTCAGCGATATCGCGATTTATAAATGTCACGTAACAATGTCTCGATTATCGCGAATGGTGATGCAAACTTGTGACACAAACAGTTAAGATCGTGAATATACATTTCCCCTTTTGTTTCCGATGCGTATAAAAATTGTAATATTTTTTCACGAACTTTACCTTTCACGTTTCGATAATATTTTTATCAAGTGTATCAAGTGTACGAAAACCCAAAGAAATTATTGATACTGTACATATGAAGAAGTTGATCCGAAATTGACGTCTCGAGGGAAGAAAAGAGCAATATTCAAGTATAAATGAAGATGGAAAAGAGAGGAAAAATGGTCGTCTTTTACAAAGAAAGAAGAGAAAAAAAGAAAGAAAGGGAATGGAAGTTTAAGAGAAAAATTTTTTCTTCTCTAAGCTTGACGAGATTTTAATTCTTCCATTGTGAATTAAACCTTGTGACGCATGATCGATAAAGGTATGCCGAGATTGTTAGCCGGAAGTGGATAAAAAAATGAACTTTGGCATTCTCAGAATTCTCTTCTTTTTTTCAATGATACGATATATAATCGCGGAATAATGGAATTTCTTGGACAAAAATTGGTCCAAGGACTGGATGATACGATCCTGGTAATGCAAAAGTTATGCACGAATACCATCACACGAGCAATAAATAATCAATTAGATACAAGAAATGTCGAGAATATTGGCTAACTAACCAATTTAAAATACAATATTCTTACATTTACATATTATAGTATTTAATTCCATAAATATAAATGAAAGTTATACTACCTAACCTAAAATCTAAACTATGAAACTCAAGTTATACTAATCTAAAATTGGCTTCAAGTAAATTTATTTTATAACCTAATTTCTTATTAAATACAATATTCTTATATTTACATATTATAGTATTTAATTCCATAAATATAAATGAAACTCAAGTTATACTAACCTAAAACCTAAACTATGAAACTCAAGTTATACTAATTTAAAATTGGCTTCAAGTAAATTTATTTTATAACCTAATTTCTTATTAAATACAATAATCTTATATTTACATATTATAGTATTTAATTCTGCAAATATAAATGACACTCAAGTTATATTAACCTAAAACCTAAACTATGAAACTCAAGTTATACTACCTAATCTAAAATTGGCTTTAAGTAAATTTATTTTATAACCTAATTTCTTATTAAATACAATAATCTTACATTTACATATTATAGTATTTAATTCCATAAATATAAATAAAATTCAAGTTATACTACCTAACCTAAAACCTAAACTATGAAACTCAAGTTATACTATACCTAACCTAAAATTGGCTTTAAGTAAATTTACTTTATAACCTAATTTCTTATTAAATACAATAATCTTACATTTACATATTATAGTATTTAATTCTGCAAATATAAATGACACTCAAGTTATATTAACCTAAAACCTAAACTATGAAACTCAAGTTATACTATACCTAACCTAAAATTGGCTTTAAGTAAATTTACTTTATAACCTAATTTCTTATTAAATACAATAATCTTACATTTACATATTATAGTATTTAATTTGGTAAATATAAATAAAACTCAAGTTATACTACCTAACCTAAAATCTAAACTATGAAATTCAAGTTATACTATACCTAACCTAAAATTGGCTTTAAGTAAATTTATTTTATAATCTAATTTCTTTGAACAATGATCTAATGATGAATTTGATCTAAAACGAATTTACAATATTTTCTTCTATTGCAACTATAATAAAATTTCATATTGAAATTTGTTCATTTTTTGACAGTTTGAATTTGAACGGTTTTTACACAAATGGCATTGTTTGTTTTATCTGGTTTGGAATAATTGACACATAGCCGATGCAATTGCCAACTTAGACCTTGCCAGCTCGGAGATTGTTCTCTTCGATGCGGAGTCGCTGATCATTCGTTTTCATTTTTCTCTCTCTCGTCACGCATTTGCATACACGATGCACCCTTGAACCGAAACCTTGGAATTGCGAATCGAACAAGTGACGGGAAATTTACATATCGCAACGTTGATCAATCGTTTAACGTTCTATTCCGTTAAATTCGAGTTTTCGAATTTTTACTTTACTTTTTTAATAGCCGGAACTTTTATTTTTCTTTCTCTGCTCGAGAAACATTGAATTGAGAATCGTTGGATGGATGTATGAAAGAAAACTTGTCTAGCTTTCCATTCCTTGAAATTGGAATTTTCCTCTATTTTCGTTCACTTGAAATTTTTATCCTCTTCCCTTTTCATTCTTTTCTTCTGGAAAGAGAAACAAAAAGTAATACAAGAAAATAAATCTATCGTCAAATGAATCGATAATAATTACATTTTTCACGAGCTGATAATTCTAGTTAAATTTCCATACCTTGTACGAAAACCACACCACAACCACACAACACTCTTGTTATTCGCTTGTTGACAAATGAGTGCATTATCACGAAACATGTTCACATTCGGATTAATATTTTTCTCACGTTTCAGCGGCTTGTAATCCTCGAAATTTCATTTGTTGCAAATTTAGTTGTTCAACACGAGGGTTTTCGGCAAATTTCCATAAAAGCCAGAGAGGTTTTGATTGCGCGAAGTTACCTGATGAATCGAGTCGTAGCATGAAAACGATTCGTGAAATTTAATTAAGCCTGTTTCTACTTTTTTTTTTTTTTTCTATTTTCTCTTCTTCCCAATTTTTTTTTCTTTCTTTCTTACAAAACCTGTCATCCAAAACAGATATTGTTGTGTAAGGAATTTTTCCTCGGCAAGGATTTTCTATTGTCGATACAAAATTTCGAGATAGAAAAAAAAAAAGCGATTTTCGTGAAAAGTTCATTGAACTATGATCGAAGGTGATAAAAAAATTTGAAATTACCTTTTTTTTTTAATTTTTTGGTTCTGCTTATTTTATCGTTAACTCTTGTCGTAGATGACTGGAAGATCAAAGGGAAATTTTTATCGTCAAATAACTTGGAAACGAGGTTTTATTTTTATCGAAAAAGTTTATTAAACTCTCGTTTAACGATTTGTATTCCAAATTAAAGGCCTCGATCAGTATTTTCAAAGTTTTTTCAAAGCCAAAAAAACGATAAGAAAAAGAGTTTTGGAATAAATATTCCGAATCGAATTGAGGTTAGATTGTTGGAAAAAAGTTTTGTTCAACTTTAATTCAACAATAATTTGTTTTATTCTACGTTAAATATCTCGATAAGTAATTTCAGAATTTTTTCAAAGCCAAAAACAAAAATGAAAAATCGAGTTCGAGAATAAATATCCCAATTTAAATTAGGTTAAATCTTCTAATTCTTTTCTTGTCCTTAAAAATTGGATTACTTTAAATTTTACTTAAATTTCGAAACGAAAAGATAAATTTTCCATCCGTTGTTACCGTTTTAAATCTTCGTTTCGTTTACTTGATAAAATTCGTTTTAAAAAAGATTCTCTTCCACACTGATCTTCGCCGCGTAACTCAAGTCGCGTTAAGATATTGTTTCGGAACTTCTTAAGCTCCATCTCATTTTAATAATCTTCATTAAAATGCGTAGTCTCGAAGAGGCGGATAGTAGGGCAATGCTTTGTCGAACTTCCGTTTCCGCGAAGATCTTCGATATAAGCGAGGAGAAACTACGTAGCTCGTGATACAATATCTCTCTTCGCAGTAATCTCATTACGTAATGAATAAACTGTTCGATGCTTTCAGAATGGAATTTTTTTTGTTCTGAAAAAAAAAAAATTATTCTCGATAAAAATAATTAAAATAAAATTTAAAATGTTTGTTTTATCAATTATGTAACAAACTGTTTATTTATTGACATGTTATGTTGAATGTTTCGCAATGTTGATATTCGTTAATATTATTAAATATATACGTACATCTTCCTCTTGGTTCAATTTTTTTTTTTTTTTTTTTTTTTGATCCGTGGTAAGTGGCAGCTCTGTTTCAAGTACAATAAATAAGATTAAAAGAAACAGTGTCTTCGAGAGCTTGAACTCTTTACCAAGTCGATTCTCGGGAAGGAACGGTGCAAATCAATTTCATTAGTTTCACAGTGGCTGTGTTTTCAATGTTCATTCCACGGCGAGCGATAGCATTGAATGGAATTAAAGGCGTGCTTTTAAAACTTTCCTTAACGTAGCACTCTTCAACCGGGCACTCGTTGAACACGAAAGAGATCCTTGTATGCCTTTCCATGATATTTACCTTTGTTTAATTTTTCTCCTTTCTCTATAAAATAATCCATTAAATTCAAATTTACATTAAGACATTTAGATAAGACTATTCTCCATAATATTTTCTCTCATGTTTAATTTCTTACATCTCTATATTTATTATCTCTGTTTCTGACATCTATTTTTAACACTCACTTTCTCTAACCTGCAGACTTAACCTAAATCTTAGGATTATTATATGATTCAAAGCCACATTTGTTCAAGGATGAATCTATATCAACAGATGGTAAAGTATACTTCTCACTGATAGTCAAATTACATATATTTAGGTTGCTATCATCTTTTAGTTAAAGCAAGGAATTTTGCTCTTGAATTATACACAAAGTTAGATGTAATTCTCTTTCCTAAAGTAGCACACAGTCCTGTATTATCCAAAAGATTCACAAAGAAAGACTTAAAGGTAAAAATTCAACCCAAATCTAACCCTAATTTAAATCAGAAATCATCTAAGCATTCACTTTCTCTAACCTAAGAGATTTAACCTAAATCTTAGGATTATTATATGATTCAAAGCCACATTTGTTCAAGGATGAATCTATATCAACAGATACTAAAATATACTTCTCACTGATAGTCAAATTACATATATTCAGGTTTCACTATCATCTTTTAGTTAAAGCAAGGAAT